AATTACATCATAATAATATCTATTGTTGTTATTGTAATTACCTATATTTTTATTATAATTATTACATGTTTTAATATATTAATGATATTTTATTATATTTAATATAATAGAATAATAATCTACCGTAATGTTCAGGTAAGGTTTATTTGATATTCATTTCATTCTATGGGGTGCAGTAAATGACCTGGATAATTAATAGGCGGCCCAAAAAGTAACCACTGTTTCATACAGTGTGACAAAAAAGTGATTTCGCTCTTGCATTCATTGAAACTGTAGCTTGTTACTTGAAAAGCTACACTTTTGAAACTTGTCATGAAATATTGTCATGATACTCAAATGAGTGGTTTTATTTCAGCCTGTAATACAACCTTGTAAAATATTTAATACAGTATGTAATGATATTATACATTTTAAAATCAAGTGTGACATGGCTTTTTGAAATCATTTTCGTACACAATTACACCATGACAATCTGATTTAGTCTGGGCAAAGGTCCATGCTCATCACAGAAGGGCCTTTCTCACACCTCCCACATGGGAGTTAAAGAGGCATCCTCCTCTGGCCCTGTAAAATAACACTTAGCTCTGCCAGTACATGCTCAACTCACTGCCTCTTAATCCAGTCCGTCAGCTCAAGTACCCGATCAAATGCCATTAGGAGGAACTCCATCAAGGAAAGACAAAGATCAGCTCTTCATATTAGCTTACACATCTCATTATGTCAGCTGATCGTGTGTGTGTGTGTGTGTGTGTGAGTGTGTGTGCGTGCGTGCATGTGTGCGTGTGTAATGGAATGAAAGCAGCACTGGTAGTCTGGCAGTCGGCCAGTTTGGACCAGTGCCAGCGTGACCAGTTGTGTTGTCTAATTAACTCCTGCTCCCTTGCGCCTGTGATTCTCACACACTCACATTCAAAAACACAGAGCCACATTAAGCCCAGCAGTTTCCCAGGAGCTCCAGCTGCACACGCACACACACATACACGTGTTCACACACACTATCAGTGCCACACACAACGAGGGAGCTTCTTGTGATCGATTCTGTTGTCATGGGATTTTTTTCCCAGTATTGATGCTTTTTAATTAGTGGTTTGTTGTTAGCACAGATGGTGATTGTTGCCTTCAAAATTATATATTCCACTAACTTTTTGTTCTTAATCTCCAGTTATGGACAGTGGTCTGTAATATATAATATAGTATATATATAAATGAATATGAGTGATGAATAATTATATATAATTCAGTGTTGTAGTTGAGACCACCTCACTCGAGTCCGAGTCGACACCGAGACCAGAGAGAGTCGAGTCCGAGACCAGAGGCGGTCGAGTCCGAGTCGAGACCGAGACCAGTGAGGGTTGATTACCTAATTTACTTTTATTTACTTAGAGAAATATTTTTTTTTTTTTTTACTGAATTTACTTAGACTTTAAAAAATATGATCAGTTAAGGGTAAAAAGGCCACATAGTAGGTGGTGTTAAAAGTAATTTTATTACAATTTGTCATGCGCAGTTGCGCACTAGAAAATCACCAATCACTGGGGGTGTCAATCAATTTAAAGAAATATTTTATTAACATACATTAATAATCATGAAAAATATTTTTAATTGAACTCGAGTGGACTCGGGAATAATTCCGAGTCCTAAAAAAAAAATGTTCGAGTACGAGTCAATTCCGAGTCCTAATGGACACGAGTCCATGACAAGACCAAGACCATTAAAATATGGTCTCGAGACCGAGTCCGAGACGAGTCCGAGTCTCGAGTACTACAACTCTGATATAATTATATATATATGTACTTCTACACTTTTTTAACCTTACATTAGGCATAATGTAAGTCATTACCGCAAAATATACCCTCACAGGGTGATAAGATCATCTTGAAGAAGTGTTTATTTTGCGATAATCGCCAATTAACTGTATGTTATCAAATGTTTTATTAAGCTGTTTACCAAATGAATAAATAAATGAACATGAAATATTGATTTTATTTTGTATTTTAGTGAGGATAAAGAGACTGCAGAGAGCCATGGCTTTGAGAGCCATGTTTTTTTGCCAGCATGTTATTGGTTCTCTGCCAGGGGCCACAAGATGACTCAAAATGATTCAAAATAAAGAGGAAGCAAAGTGTTAAAATAAGCTACAACAACTGAAAATCAAGATAGTTCTTATTGTAATTCACCCCCTCCCCTCAACAAGAATTGTTTTAAAAATGTAATTTCTATAACTGGCAAAGTCATAGAAATTGATCAAATTTTGTAACTATTTAACCATTTTATACATTTTTGGATATACATTTTTATAGTTATGCCAAGTTTTAAAAATATGTTCAAAAGGGCACTAATATTTACACCGTAAGTTATTTTACTTTGCCTTTATTTTTCCCTCACATCTGCTACCCAAACTTTTGAATGAGCACGCCCATGAGTATAACACCGAGTGTGTATTATTTGCTGTGTCACAGAGGTCACAAGGTATAGAAGTAAAAACATTTCCAAACTTTTAGGTCAACAGTCAGTTTCTCTGTTAAGCTTCCAGGTTTTAGTATGACTTGTAACAGCTTTAGACTGCCTGAAGCTTCATTTTAACTGGGTTCAAAGTCATATCCCAGCTCTGCCTTCATTGCTTTTGTCAATGTGTGTGTGAGTGTGTGTGTGTGTGTGTTTTCAGTCACAAAGAATGTCACCCTGTCACCAGCCCACGTACCTGATTTGAGGATTGTGAAACATGTCTCTCTTGGACATTAATTGTACAACACAAAAAAAGTGTTTTTTTCTTACATGTTTCTTATGGGAGTCAGTGATTTGCTGGACCCTCAATGTCAGTCGGGGGAGGTCTGGTTTTGTCCTGAAAGCCCTGGTAAAAACCCTGTCTTGGTAGAAACTGAACATTTCAGCTTCAGTGTGTGATAATTTATTGTGTTGTCAAGAGCTCCCTCTACTGAAATCCCGGCGAGATACTTCTGTCAGCATTAACACTTAAAGAGGAGTGACATACTAAGATTAAGATTAATAGCATATTTTACTTTGTATTTCCTGCTTTTGATGAGTTTTGCAAATAAATTAGATTATAAAACACGTACGTATGTCAATGGCATATTTTGTTTGTAATTCATACATTTTTTTTGTTTATATCCACACATGTTGAACCGGTAGTTGCTGAAGGTTGAGTCAGGGTGTGATCAGCAGCCTTGGGGGCTTGACACTATAAGCATCTTGTGTGTCATTCAAAACTATATTGAGACGTTTTATAATGATCACACACTTGCTCAGCAACTGAGTACATCACTAAGGAATGACAGAATGATTGTTAATGACAGACAAGTGACTTGTGAGAGAGGTTTAAATCAATAAGCAGTTGTTTACTCTAGTGAATTAGTTGTTTTTAACATTTTTATAATTTAATACACAGTTTGCATCACACATTATATCATTAGCGCAATAAATGCAAGTGAATATTTTGGATTGTCTCCCATTGTTCCTTTGCACATGTTTGTTTAAAACCTGTCTATTATATTCTCCAGTATGGTTTGAGAATATCTGTTATTTAAATAGTGACCTAGAGATAGTGGAGAATCTTTAATATTTCTGATTCATTTTATAATTTACTAAATCTCGCTGTCCCTTTTCGGGTTTCAATTCGATTTTGAATCTCAGCTCAGGCTTTTGTACAACACTGAATGTAATTTAACAAAATAGATTATGCCATATAATCAGTGACTTCTAATTCATATAAATCATGTCAGTCAGTCATACCAAGATTTAGATTTAAGTGAGTCTTGAGAGACTACATGCATCAGTGCTCTGCATTCCTGCAGTCATGATGCTGGGAAATAGACCTAATATGACCGTAATGGTCCACTCAAAGGTGAAGCAGTGCTCTAATGTATTTTCCATCTGTTAATATTTAATACAACATAGTAGACGTCATTAATTACCCCTTTACTGGTCACTCTAGCTTAGTGATGGCCTCTGAAAGTGACAGTGGCACAATTACATCATCTGTATGAATCTCTAATTCACTGTTAAAGCTCCTGGCACCTCAAGCGAAGAGGGCAGAGTGGTGAATAGATGAGCAATGTATTTAAGATGTGGAAAAATTCACCTGGTATTGTTTAAAAATGAGAAATTCGCAAATGTTTCTCGGGTTTTGGAATGTATATTTTCCCTCTTGTCTTCCTTGCGGCAACATCTGCATTCAAATACTGTTAGAGAAGCTGATCTGCACAAACAGATTAAACCCACACATGGACAACCACTTACTTAGCAAGGGTAGATTTATTTAAATGAACAGACTGGTTCAAATGTCAACTTTGTTGCCATACATCTTGAAAATATGAAACACAGATTTTGACACGTCAGGTGCAGGTAACTTGACAGGCTTTACTGCATTTTACTTTGTTTGCTTGTCGTATTTGGAACAGAGCATGTTTTATTCGTGCCGCAGGCTTGGAAATGTCACATATGAGTAAAAGCCCGTTGTGTTGTATTCACACTGTACCTTTTTCCGAGGCATTGATTGCATTGGTCCTTTAATATTGGTGACAGCTAATACACTCCTAAATGATCGGTTATTATCTCCGGGGCCTTGTTCCATGTGCCCCGCTGTTTCCAAAGGTCATCCCTCTGTCTTCCTGTATCGACCTGCCCGCCTGTTAACGTGGCCCAAGACTTATTGAAAGTGAAGGTTGAGGAACATATTTCCATCAGGTTGCAGTCTTCTCCTTCACGAGATGGCTTTTAAAAGGCTCTTTTGAGCATGTCCATTCAGAGAGCGGGGACAGGATGAGAAAACATAATGGATATGCCGATAAATTGAAAAGCGCCTTTAAAATGCATGTGGTTTCCCACTGGTGTAGATGTATTAGCATCCAGCCTTAATATGATGCATTTAACGATAGAAGGGATTTCTTGCGCATTTTATAACTTCATAACTGCAATAACTTAAAGCAAAATGATCTTCTAGTATCTTCTAGTAAAGTATCTTCTTTTTTTTCTTTTCACAGCTATACGAACTGGACGATGATGAGAAAAGGAAGGAGTTTCTTGACGATCTCTTCAGTTTCATGCAAAAAAGAGGTGAGTCTTGTTATGTACAGCTATTCAGATCTCGAAGGGCCGAAGCACACACCCCTTAACACCCACATTGCAAAACCACATGTTGCCTTTAGATGATAAGGCTCACATATGGTAATTATAGGACTTGCTGGTGATCTTTTAGCCACATGTCCAGGTAAAGTTATATTCACTGATCTTCATAGCAAAGCAAATAACAAAGCAAGCTTCTTCTCTCTTTTTTTTTTTTTTTGAAATATATATAAAAAAATAAATAAATATAAGGTTTTCAGGATTTTTTAACGAAGTAATATAACAAGGATCTCATTTCATAAGAGCAATTGGAATAAGTTGGTTTGATATAATTGTGTGCCACCTGTGTTTGGAAACAAAGCATCATAAATCTCTAAGCACCCATCTGCAGTCTTGCCAACAATAGAAATGCAGGGTTAATTGTTTTGGTAAAGGCTGAGAATGTGTGGATACTATTGTGATAGGCTTTTTCAGGTTTCCTGCTTGAACCGTCCATTTCTCTGAAGTGTTGCTGCCACTGTGGCGTGTTTCTGCCCCTGATGCTATCTGAAACAACGGCTTCTGCTGTTTGTTTTATAATTACTCTCAGATTATGTGAAAACATCCCTGAGGGGATGACCTTGCCACAGTAGGGAAGGCAGCATCCTGGTATTATGTTAGCCGCCATAGCATAATACATTTTTTTTTTTTTTTGCTTTATTGAGGAGGGAGGTACATCATCGGATCGTTTTTTTCCCACGAGGTGCTTTAGCCGACATCAGTCTCCGATATTTTATAGAGGAAATAGAGGAACGTTAATGGCCTTGCATAATATGAGATAGTTTGCAGCCTTTCCAAGACAAGACAGAGCTATTTTAAGTACGCAGGACTGTTTTTTGTTGTAATATGTTACAAAACCTCTGTTTTGGTAATATGGTGTATTTTCACTGTAATTTCGGTTTACGTCCAAGTTTTTCATAAACTTGTTACACTTTTGTATCTATGTGAGCAAACAATGTATTTGATTATTTCCATAATACAATCAAATTTAAAGATGGTATATTTCTAAATAAAATAAAATATGATATAATAATAAAGATATAATTATGCTACTAGTTTTTACTGTATTTGTGATCAGATAAATGCAGCCTGGAGAGCATGAGAGGTTTCTTTCAAAAACAGTAAAAAATCGTAAGTGCCCCAAAAATTTGAATGGTAGTGTATGTAAACAAAGTACATCAGCTTACAAACAGAATAGAATATGTAATATATAATTCTGTTCTTCAGAGGAGTTTCCTCCTTTTAGTTGTCATTTAAGTAGTTATTTTTACTTTGATTTATTGTACATTAAAAGCCAAAGCTGTAATATACAGCCAATATCTCAGCACTTTTGTTTGAAATGTACTGAAAAGTTTTATTATGAACTTGTCAGGCGCAGTGCTCTGCAAGACAAACTTGTTTTCTGAGGAAGAAGAATTGAGCGTGTTTCTTTTCTTTTCCTCTCTTAATCCATGAACAATGACGGATGTGCTTTTCTAACAGTTGTGACTGCCTTCCTTACACATTACACTAAAGGTACTTGGCAGGATCTCAATAAAATCCTTGCAGATTTTCATTAATATAATATATTATAACTGAATAGTTTAAACCATTGTGACAGCTGGCTAATAATTCAGAGCTCACTTCATGCTTTTGTCCATATATACACTACATATTAGTGCTATGATGTTGAGATATTCAGCAGTCTGTGTTTGAAAATGTACAGTATTGGATTACTTAAATTTCTTATAATAAACTGGTATATTATATATTTATTAATCATTAAATTAATTAATTTGATGTTGTTTCTCTTTTCAAAAAGATGCCACATTAAAATGAATAGAGGAAAATTGAAAGTAAAGTCATAAAATAATCTTATAATAAGCCTTTTACAAGAACAAGGTTTTGAAAAAGTCAAAATTACAGAACTAATAAAATGGAAATGCAATCGTAGCATTACTAATTATAATCTATTTTGTTGTAATCTGTTACTTATGTGTCTTTTATAATCCGTCAGACATACTGTGTTTGAGAGCAAAAATAATTGTATTGTCTTTAAATATTGCAAATAAAGTCTTCTTAAAGCTGTTTTAATTACAAAAATAAAGTAATTAATATCAAACCTCTTTGCAGTGCGAGACGAGTACATTTGTGTTTGTCTTTGTGCAGTTTTCATCACACACACACACAGAGATTTGCTCTCTGCTCTGCTGTCATTGTCTGTGACTCTAAAACCTTTGCTTACAGGTTGAAATGTTTTAAATGAAAGTGCATTTCAGTGGGTGGTATTTAAGCACCCAGAATGAAAGACCGGTTTCTATTGGTCCCTCTCCCTTGGCATAATAATTTGTTGTCCATTTTGACAATTTTGTGTGTATTTGACTTTTTAAGTGCAGTAAGCCACTCATTTTGACTTGCAAAGGTTTTTGAGAGCCGACTTATGTGGTTGCCACTTATATAGATCAGAGGTGTGAGTGTAAAACCTGTGGGAATTAGTAAAATTGTGCACAATACAAGCACTATTTAACTGGAGTGATTGGGACGAGTGATGGTGTGTGTCCACTGGTGCAGAGTGAGTGGAGCTTCCATATGAATGAACTGAAAACTCTCGCTCTGCTTTGCTCGTTCACACACCGAGAGTGAGAGGAGGTGTGTGTGCATGTCGCCGTCGGAGAGAAGAGAGCGAGAATGCGCAGCTGACGTTATTGCCTGTGCCGCTGGCAAAAATCGGAATCGGAAAGACTTGTGGCCGTTTTCTTGGCATTGTCTCCTTGATCCATATCTCTTATTTAAACATCCTTTATTTTTTTTAATATCTCAAATCACATGAAAAAGACAAAGAAATATATTGTTCTAATTGTCTATTTATTAGCTTAATATTTCATCTTTACAAACGTTTCTATCTGTTAGTTTAATTACGAGGACGGAATGCAGAGATACCAGATTTTCGTCATATATGGTGGGAGTCATGACACGTTATATGAGTGACAGATCGGGCGGATCTCATAATTTACTATATGAAGAGTTCAGATGCAAAAGCCTCTAAATGCCATTTGAAATTTTCTTCTTTAATGATGATTTTTGTCAAACTTGTATATTCAAGTTCAGTAATTTCACTTAAATAACAATTAATAGGTAATTATCATTGCCATTTAAGTGAAATAACTGAACTTAAATATACAAGCTTGACAAAAATCATCATTAAAGAAGAAAATTTCAAATGGCATTTAGAGGCTTTTCCATCTGAACTCTTCATATAATTATTTTATAAAATAAAAATGAAGAAAATAAATTCATTACTTTATAAAGAAATATTAAGGGAATCCATAAATGTTTCCCCAAATGTGCACACTTTTGGACTTAAATCCCTAATGGATGTTTATTTAATATATATTATGATCACAAATAAAAATTTCATTTGAAATACCAATAACTGGTATGGTTTTGCGTGTTTGATGTGTATTTCTGACAGAAATTACTGTCACTGTTAACTGTTTTTATCATAAACAGTGGTGAAATATTGAAGCTATAGCCCCAAGTTCTTCTAATGATATACATTTCAAGCTTAAATAAGACTGTCATTGTAATATACTCCCTGAACTCGGTTACTAAGCATTTAAAGTCCTTTAAATTGTTTAAAATACCTGAGGAATGAACCAAACTGTGTCAATTGTGATAAAACCTCCAGATGTTATGGACATCACCATTTTTGATACTGTCACACAGCGGTTGTGACTTCAGATATGTATTCAGTTTACATTCTGAATGAACGAAACATTTCAAGACTCACTCCTTGCTGTCAATCCCAAACAGCGACTATGAATGCAGCCATCATCGACAAGCATTACAGATAGATGCCTTTTAATTCTTTGCACTTCGTTTTTTTTATCTTGTTTGTTTTTTGTTTGTTTTTTTTAGAAAATGTTGAAATATTAATGGCAGAAGTTACGGTTATTATTTCTTGTTATGAGAAGTAAAGGATTAATCGACTGATCAAAAATGAATTTGATTAATCTAGTTAGTTAGTTAGTATTATACCCAGTAAATCTTTTCTGAAGCTTTCCATACAGTTACAGTTTCCATACCATTTTTTTTTTTTTTGGCCATTTTTGACTAGTCAAACTTTGCAACAGATTTTCTTGTTTTAACTCCACCTTGGTGGTTTGGTTTAATGTTTGAGTCAGTTCCAGGTCACAGGATATCTGATGTATTTTTCCTGAGAGGCAACAGATGACAGAGAGTACTGAGTTGTCAGTTAACTCTCATCTGTTTTGTGAATTTGTGATGACAGGAATGCAGACCAGGTTTTATCGCGGTTCATGCTGTTGTTATTGCGCCATGGGCTAATCCATCAGAGACAGCCAACGAGGAGTCACCCAGTCTAGTGATGCCATCACATAAAAATGCCTGAATGCAGCGAAGTGAAGCTCTTCCCGTCAGCTCAGGCATGAGATCAAATATACTGTAATTAAATCTGCCTCTGCTGCCTCTGTTCTTATGCTTGATGGATAAATCTGTATTGATCATATAGAACACCGAATGCACTCATCAAGGGTTTACTTACTTTTATACACATTAGATCAAACATGTAAATGTTTCTACAATTTTGAATGCACCTGGGGTATTTTAAACAAATCCTTCCCTATCTTTTTAGAATAAAGCTTTTTTTAATGTCATGGATCTGCATGAATCTCTCATCTAAATGAATCTCTCAGCACACAATCCAGGTGACCTGCTGTACTTGTTTTACTGTTGTGTTCTCAAACATGTCTCTATGGTGTTAAAAGACCGAGTGGCCTTCATAGCTGTTTTATCACACTGACAGCATGAATAGAATGGGAACTCCCATTTAACACTCTCCATATTAAGTATTGTCACTCATTTTGGTGATTTGTGAATGACAGTTGGAGCTGTTTGTTAACTGAGATTAGACCATTGTGACAGAGATTCAAGATACATGTTCACTCAGTAGA